TGGATGTATGTTTCTTAAAATTCTCACACAATACATCATTCAGCCTGGAGACCCTGCAAAAATGTAAGAAGTGATATCACACTGGTAAGAGAAGCAAGTGTTCCCTCTCACTGGCAGCCATGGTGGGCCCTGAGGCCACCTGCAGCAGAGTCAGCCAAGTGACAAGACAATCTTACAGTGACACTCAGCCTTGAAGGGAAACAGGACTTTGACAGTATTTTATGCTCATATTCAGGAACGAACAGTGAAAGAGGAACTATTAGCTACTTAAATAAGAGGGTTGTGAAGTACGGGCTTTGGAAAAATCTGTTTTTCATGAAGCAGAATGAAAGCCTAAACCCAGTGTTGCTTACTTTGCTTCCTGAAATAACAGAGCTTTGTTGAGACAACCCCCTGGCAGCAAAAAAAAGTCAAGGGAGAAAAAGTAAGCAACTCGGGGATGAACTGTGACTCCTTTAGAGTGATAAAGGGACTGCCCTCCATTACCAAGTACCACTTTTGCCAGGGCCTTTGCTACATGCGTTGTTCTTGCCCCAGTTCCGGCCCCTTATCATTTTGATAAGGACCTTGTCTTTTTACCAACTTAATACTTGAAATGATAATATCGTCTGTTTGCTGTTTCAAGATTGTGATATATTTTCCTAGTGGTTTGGTTTTCAAAATAAATAAGACTTAATTTTCAAAAAAAAATAAGTCCAGTTTATTATTTTTCAGTTTTTGTGTATTCTATTATTTTCCCAAGCTCAAAAACAATCTGAAGTATTCCATACTGACATGTATAGTTTTGAATAGTAATATTTGTTCTATTTTCCTTAAATTATAACTTTTTCAGTGCTTTCCTTTGTTTAAAGTGTGATATGATATGTTGAAGCCAGTTAATTGTTACAAGAATATATCCTTTTTATAATTACACTTAATAAGAAAACAGTGTTATATATAAATTATTTATCCATATGAATTTAGTTTCTAATTTACAGAAACAGATATGTCACGCAATTAGAGTCACTTACGCGTTCATTCATGTTGCTGTTTGTTGTGTCTGACTTTTCTGCAACCCCATGAACTGTAGCCCGCCATGCTCCTCTGTCCATGGGATTTCTCAGTCAAGAATACTGGAGTGGGTTGAGATTTCCTTAGCCAGGGGATCTTACCCAGGATTGACCCCAAATCTCCTGCTTGGCAGATGGATTCTTTACCACTGAGCCACCAGGGAAGTCCACCTTCATCCAGCCAAAAAATATCTACTAACAGCTTGTTAGGCAGAGCTGCAGATTCTGGGGCTGTCACAGTCATCAAGAGAAAAAATGCCTGTCCTTTTGGAACTTAAATTCTCCTGGAGAAGCTGAAAAGCAAGCCAACACCTATGTCACAAAATCTCAGTGCTGATATGTGCAAAGGAGAAAAATGAAGCAGGACTTGAGGAGGGGTGAGCTGATAGCATTATTAATAATGGGCAATATCTATTGATGTGTTACAAATTCTACATGTACTGACTCATTTAATGTTCTTAATGATGTTAGGAGTTACACACCTTTATAATTATGATATTATAGTCTTACTTAGAGTTTAGGAAGCTAAGATAGAGTAGGTTCAGGAACTTGCCCTATTGGCACAGCCAGGCAAGACTTATGCCCAGGCTGCCTGGCTTCAAATCTCCAGTTTATTTTTGTTTGGATGCAGGGGAAAAAAAAGTCAACAAAATAGTCAAAAATGCAGTACTTGGCTGCAATGTCAAAAATGACAGAGTGAACTCAGTTCATTTCCAAGGGAAATCATTCAGTATCACAATAATCCAAGTCTATGCTCCAACCACTAATGTCAAAAAAAGCTGAACAGTTCTATGAAGACCTATAAGACCTTCTAGAACTAACACCAAAAAAAGATGTTTTCTTCATCATAGGGAACTGAAATGCAAAAGTAGGAAGTCAAGAAATATCTGGAGTAACAGGCAAGTTTGGCCTTGGAGTATAAAATGAAGCAGGGCAAAGGCTAACAATTTTGCCAAGAGAACGTGCTGGTCATAGCAAACACCCTCTTCCAACAACACAAGATATGACTCTACATATGGACATCATCAGATGGGCAATACTGAAATCAGATTGATTATATTGTTTGTAGCTGAAGATGGAGAAGCTCTACACAGTCAGTAAAAGCAAGACTGGGGGCTGACTATGGCTCAGATCATGAACTCCTTATTGCAGAATTCAAGCTTAAATGGAAGAAAGTAGGGGAAACCACAAGCTATTCTGATATGACCTAAAACAAATCCCTTACAAATTATACAGTGGAGGTGACAAGTAGATTCAAAGGATTAGTTCTGATAGACAGAGTGCCTGAAGATCTATGGACAGAGGTTTGTAACACTCTACAGGAGGTGGTGAACAAAACCACCCCCAAGAAAAAGAAATGCAAAAAGGCAAAGAGAAGGCCTTTGCCTTGTTGCCTGAGAAGGCCTTACAAATAGCTGAGAAGAGAAGCAAAAGGCAAAGGAGAAAAGGAAAGATATACTCATCTCAATGCAGAGTTCCAAAGAACAGCACAAAGAGATAAGAAAGCCTTCCTAAGTGATCAATGTAAATAGAAGAAAACAATAGAAAAGGAAAGACTAGAGATCTCTTCAAGAAAACTAGCAATACCAAGGCAACATTTCCTGCAAGGATGGGCACAATAAAGGACAGAAACAGTGTGGACCTAACAGAAGCAGAAGATATTAAGAAGAGGTGGCAAGAATACCTGGAAGAAACATTAAAAATGGTCTTAATGACAAATAGCCACAATGGTGTGATCCATCACTTAGAAACAGACATCCTGGAGTGAGAAGTCAAGTGGGCCTTAGGAAGCATCACTATGAACAAAGCTAGTGGAGGTAATAGAATTCCAGTTGAGCTCTTTCAAATCCTAAAAGATGATACTGTTCAAGTGCTGCACTCAATATGCCAGCAAATTTGGAAGACTCAGCAGTGGCCACAGGACTGGAAAAGGTCAGTCTTCATTCCAATTCCAGAGAAGGACAGTGCAAAAAGATGTTCAAATTACCACACAATTGCACTCATTTCACATTCTAATGCTCAAAATCCTTCATGCTAGGCTTCAACAATACATGAACCAAGAGCTTCCAAATGTACAAACTGGATTTAGAAAAGCCAGAAGAACCAGAGATAAAATTGCCAACAGCCACCGGATCATCGAAAAAGGAAGAGAATTCCAGAAAAACATCTGCTTCATTGACTACACTAAAGCCTTTGGCTGTGTGGATCACAACAAACTGGAAAATTCTTAGAGAGATATGAATACCAGACCACGTTACCTGCCTCCTGAGAAATCTGTATGCAGGTCAAGAAGCAACAGTTAGAACCGGACCTGAAACAACTGGTTCCAAAGCAATGATTTGGACTGGTTCCAAATTGGGAAAGGAGTATGTCAACGACATATATTGTCACCTTGCTTATTTGACTTAAATGCAGAGTACATCATGTGAAATGCCAGGCTAGATGAAGCACAAGCTGGCATCAAGATTGCTTGGAGAAATATCAATAATGTCAGATATGTATCTGACACCACCCTAATAGTAGAAAGTGAAGAGGAACTAAAAAGCGTCTTGATAAAAGTGAAAGAGGAGAGTGAAAAAGCTGGCTTAAAACTCAACAGTCAAGAAACTAAGATCATGGCATCCTGTCTTATCACTTCATTGCAATAGATGAGGGAAACGATGGAAACAATGACAGACTTTATTTTCTTGGGCTCCAAAATCATTGCAGATGGTGACTGCAGCCATGAAATTAAAAGATGCTTTCTACTGGGAAGAGAAGCTATAACAAACCTAGACAGAATATTAAAAAACAGAGATATCTCTTTGCCAACAAAGTCCATATAGTCAAACCTATGGTTTTCCTAGTAGTCATATACCAGTGTGAGAGTTGGACCATAAAGAAGGCTGAACACAGAAGAACTGATGCTTTTGAACGGTGGTTCTGGAGAAGATTGTTGAGAGTCCCTTGGAAAGCAAGGAGATCAAACCAGTCTATCCTCAAGGAAATCAACCCTGAATTTTCCTTGGAAGGACTGATGATGAAGCTGAAGCTCCAGTACTTTGGCCACCCTGTGTGAAGAGACGACTCATTGGAAAAGACCCTGATGTTGGAAAAGATGGAATGCAGGTGGAGAAGGGTATGAAAGAAGACAAGATGGTTGGATGGCATCACTGATTTAATGGACATGAGTTTGAGCAAACTCCGAGAAATAGTGAAGGACAAGGAACACTGGTATGCTGCTGTCCATGAGGTTGCAAAGTATTGGACATGACTCAGTGACTGAACACCAACTACCTATATCCATGTTCTAGGGGAAATAAAATGTTGTGTTTTATTTTTCATGTGTTTTCATTCACTACAGTGCATTTATGACACTGAAGAAAATGCACTTGATTGGTCCACTATTTGCAGGATTAAACTTGGGAAAGAAGCATCATCAGAATGGGATTACTAATTACAGGATTACTAATGTATAAGGGGCAGTTTGCCCTTGCTTGAGCTTGCATATATTAAACTTTAGAAAATAGCATGGGGCCAATAATATTATATCTTCAGAGAACCAGATTTTCTATAAAAAGTTTTGCAAGTTTTTCTCTAGCATACCAACTCCTATGCAAAATGTAATTTGGGGAACTTGATTCAACCATAAAGATCCTTTTAACTTTTCTGTTTCAATCATATTGGGAGAAATAGCTTCACTTTTTAAGAGACTTCCTTAACTAACCCCTAGATGGGGTTTCTGGTGGATGTACTGTGGTGGGATGGGGGACACTGAGATCTTTCTGTCCTGAGTTGACTCCACCACCATCTTTCTCAGTGAACACTCATTGGAAGGAGCTTCCCCCATCACCTAGTTGTACATGTAAGATACGTAAGAAGTCCTGAGATGTCAAAGCTCTAGTGTCTAAGAGGCTTGTCTACTTCAGTAGCAGTTTGCTTAGAAAAATGTCATTCTTTCTGTATCCACAGGTACAACTTAAAGAATTAATTGAAGGTCTTCCTGCTAAAATGAATACTGAATTAGCAGAATCTGGATTGAACTTGAGTGTTGGTCAGAAACAACTGGTGTGCCTTGCCAGGGCTATTCTCAGGAAGAATCAGATATTGATTATTGACAAAGCCACATCATATGTGGATCCAAGGTATGGAGCTGAGCCCCAGGAAATCTTGAATCTGACTTTTAAATATGGTAAATGGAAAACATTTAATGAATCTTTGAAATGTTTCTAAGTGCCCTCTTGGCCTCATTGATATCTGTTGGTAATATTAGTTCCAGAAAACAAAGGAAAAACCCAAGACATGTTATATGGTGTTAATATTGTTATGAGGCATCCTAAGAGAGCTAAATTCCTAAATCCAGCTCCTATTAGTTTCAGGCAATTTTGAGGGAAGACTAATTTTCCATCATTTTATGAAAAATTTCTAAGTAAATTTCTAAGTAGACTTTTAATACTTAGTTTTTAGGAACAAGACTGTATGTTAAAGTATTGATTTTTAAAAATGTAAAAATATCATAGGATATTTTTAAGTCTTAGGTCTGCTTTTCCTGTCTTTACTGAACTAAATCAACTCCTTTCTTTCTAGAACTGATGAGTTAATATAAAACAAAATTCGTGAGAGATTTGCCCAGTCCACTGTGCTGACCATTGCACACAGGTTGAGCACCATTATTGACTGTGAACAGATAATGGTAAGACCCTCACCATTTTAATTGTTTCCATTTATGTTCAATTTTCACTGTAAAATTTTCATTACCCTTCTGTGTAAAATTTGATAGGAACCTCCATTAATTTTTCTCTTAGTTTCGTCTCTCATTCCTGAAAGTTACCCAATACTTAACTATATTCTTAGAATGTACTATTAAATAATATATCCAATAATCTTATATTTTCATATTAAAAGTTTATTTGAATTGTCATATTTTTATGATGGCCAACCATTAAGATATTCCAGACCCAAGTTATAGCTCCATATGTTAGTGGGGTAGAACATAGTCATTTTCACTGTGTCATAGTTGTTTCAGCATTTTTGCCTTCCCTTATCAAAAAATTAGCCTTTAATTTAGACTGCCAGGAGGTTGATGGCTAAAGTTGTAGAATTTCTCAGGAGTCCATGAGAAGAAACGGCCTACAGAGAAAAACAGTATTTTAGCTGAAAAGATTTAATATAAGAAATTTATTACATAGGGATTAGAGGGCTAGAAAAAGTGAAACACTGGGGTAATGATTTTAGAATGCAGCTACCATATCCTAGGACAAATCTCCTGACCTGAGAACTCAGAAGACAGGCCCTAAAGAATTGATGCTCGGACCTCTGAGGAGAGGCCACTGCCTGGTTGTTGGTTATATTTGTGAGGAGGCAGAATGTGGCTGGTTCTCCTTGTGCTAATAGCCGGGAGCTGGAGTCAGGTCCCAGTGCTAATGTGATGCTAGTAGCAGAATCAGGTAGAACATTAGCTGTTTCCCACCTTCAGTCTCCCTCTAGTACCCCCTACTGTCAGGACCTAACAAAGGCCACCTGGCAAAAGAGTCTCTGAACTATAGCAGTGACTTGCCGGGACCCAGCTTCTGCATCACAGATGAGAGTTTGGAAAGAAAGGCAAATCAGGGATGTGAGACAAAATAAACAACCAACTAGTCTCTTACACAGCAGCTCTGTTCTGCACACACGGCAGCCTCCAGGCTTTGGTCTGTGAATATCTGTCTAGTATCTTCCTTCCAGGTTTGGTTGGCTCTTTATTCCTTAGTAATTTAATACTTCCTTCCTTAGCTTTATTTCCTTCCTTCATCTATTCCTTTTCTCTCTCTTTTCCATTTTATCTCTTTCCTTGTCCTTTCCCTCTGTTGCTTGCTCAGTTTCAATAAATATTAGAATGTGGCTTTATAAAACAAGAAAAGCGTTCCTCAAGGGAAAAACTTTGGCAGCAAATAATCTCAAGGAATGCAAGATACTTTAAGGTATTTTGATGGTCCATACAAAACAGGTAATAGTCACTAATGAGCGGTCAGTAATACCCACAGTTCCTTATGTCTAAGGATAATAGTACCATCTCTTTTGACTTCTTGGGCAGCTTCTGGAATATCACCTCCTGTCCTACTTCACATGCATTGTCAGATGGGATCATCAGTGGGGCACTGAGTAGAGACCAGGCTGTCAGCATTGAGGCAGTGCCTGTAGTCTCACTCTCCAAGCTGGATGTGCAGAAGAGACGACAGGAGAGGGGCATCCCCAATGAAAGGGATGCTCTAGGCTCCAAGTAGTGTGTCTGGTCATCTGGACTAGACACCACAGTAGGAAGGAGGCTCTACCTGCAGACTTTCATGAGAGATGGGGTGGCATTCAAGATTGCCCAACAGTGATTCTTAATTTCTAGAAATGTTTTGTGTCAGGCATCCGTAGTCCTTCATTTTGTGTTTTTGAATGCTAATTGGAAAAGTAACCTTTTATTTCTAGCTTTTCCCTGTCACTTAACTGTCCTTACCTCTCAACATTATGTTTCAAAGACTGTCCCCCAGAGCACCATTTTTCCATAATAAATAAATGATGCTGTGAAATGTACCTGTTTCAAGCCCTTTGTCAGGCTTTAGACATTGCAGCAGAAAGGTGGCTTGATCTCCAGCTCAGTTTAGGGTCTGTTCAATTAAATTCTTTGTTCCTAAATATACCCGGAAGATTTATTTTTGGTTTTGGATATTATAGCATTAATGACATTCATGGTAGCAGATTCTTTTTATCATCTAATTCTTAGAAATACTGTCAGCTTGAAATGTGTGGTTGGTTATGGAAACTGAAGAAGGACAGAATTTGGAGGCCATATTGCCTGGTCAGTCTAAAGTGTTATCACTCAGACCTAATCTGCAGATGTGAACATCTGTATCCTCTGAACCAGTCAGCTTTGTTGCTATTATCAAAGTACGTTCATTTTTTTAATGCTTTATTTACCAATTTGTTGTTCACTCAGTCATGTCCAACCCTTTGCAACCCCATGGACTGCAGCATGCCAGGCTTCCCTGTCCTTTACTGTCTCCCAGAGCTTACTCAAACTCACGTCCTTTGAGTCAGTGATGCCATCCAACCATCTCATCCTCTGTCGGCCCTTTCTCTTCCTGCCCTCAATCTTTCCCATCATCAGGGTCTTTTCCAGTGAGTTGGCTCTTCACATCAGGTGGCCCAAGTACTGGGCTTCAGCTGCAGCATCAGTCCTTCCAATGAATATCCAGGGTTGACTTCCTTTGGGATTGACTGGTTTTATCTCCTTCAGTCCAGGGAACTCTTAAGAGTTTTCTCCACTACCCCATTTTAAAAGGATAAGTTCTTCAGCTGTCACTCAGCCGCCTTTATGGTCCAACTCTCACATCCATACATGACTTCTGGAAAAACCATAGCTTTGACTATATGGGCCTTTGTCAGTAAAGCAATGTCTCTACTTTTTATTTTTATTTTTTTTATTTTTTTGGGGAATGGTCTTCCCTAGCCCCATCAAGTTTTCCTCAGATCTGGTAAGGAGTGGATGCATTAGGATAATCCTGGAGGATCCTAGAGCAGCCTGGGTGTAAGCTGAACATGAGCTGGACCTAGAGGAAAGTTGTGTTGGGATGAGGAATGACCCAGCAGACGCCTATATGGATACGTGGCCTCAATAGACATGGTCCCCATCCTCCACTCCCCTGGTAATACTTCAGCGTATTGAATCTTAGAGGCATCCTTAGGGAACAAGGAGGAAAATCTGAATTACTTGAAATTAAGTTCTTGTCCCTAAAGGTAAAAGACTTCATAAGAAAAATTAATTTCAGTTACAGAGGGGGAAAAAAAAGGAAATGATATATATATTTTTTACATACTGAGTTTGTGGCCTAAAAGCCACTCCATCAGAAATAAGTTTTCATATCTTGAGGTTGTTTAAATTGGAAGCTTGTCTCTACTTTTTAATACACTGTCTAGTTTTGTTATAACTTTTCTTCCAAGGAGCAAGCATCTTTTACTTACCAATATCTCCTGGTAAATTTCTATAATCTCAGATTTTTCTCTCTCGGCCAATATCTATGAACAAATCTTTAAAGTAGATATGAAGCAGTGCACTGCCCGTCCCTCCCCAACTTGCTAGTTCTATCCCACTCCGCTCTCCCTCCTTCCTTTACAGCTGAAACTACACTGATGGTCTTTCTGTTCTCCAGATTCAATCTTCACTCTCTTAGAATGTGCCCTCTCTAGACTGTTGGCTTGGTCTAAGGTGCCTGTGGTGGAAATGGTGAGATGGTGGGACTTGGGGTAGATAAGGAAGTGGAGCCAGGTGGACTGTGTGATGGATTGAACATGGGCTCTGAGGGCAGAGAGAGAAGTTGATGCTGGTTTCTGGGTGCAGAGACTGAGCATCTGGGTGAATGGGGAAGACAGAGGGAGAAGAGAAATGCAAGGTTTCTCTTTGGAGCCTGTCACCTTTGTGATGAATGACCTTGTTTCCAGGAAAGGATCTTACCTTTCACTGTGGAGCTGCTCTTCCCACTCCTGTGTTGGGAGACCTTCAGTTTAAGGTTCCCTGGTTGAGGTCATCAGTGATGTCATGGGGAGGTCCCACCAGGAGATGTAAGCTTGGCCCTGTGTTTACATCTCTGTCTCAGCTGGTTGTGGCTGCTGACTCTTCTGGTAGGTGTAATAGGATTAGACCTTAGGGCACCAAGAGACAGGCATCCCTCAGCTTCAGGGTTGGGGATTGTCCTCTGTGCTCCATTCATCCCAGGTGTAAAGCTTGTATATTATTCTAGAGCTTCTGATTACCAGTCAGCTTTCAATTCAGCAAAAACATCACAAATAATGTTTTTTCTCAAACCTTCAAATTTTTATTCATTTATTTTTACTAGTTGGAGGCTAATTACTTTAAAATATTGTAGTGGTTTTTGTCATACATTGACATGAATCAGCCATGGATTTACTTGTGTTCCCCATCCCGATCCCTCCTCCCACTTCCCTCCCCACTCCATCCCTCTGGGTCTTCCCAGTGCACCAGGCCTGAGCATCCGTCTCATGCATCCAACCTGGGCTGGTGATCCGTTTCACTCTTGATAGTATACTTGTTTCAATGCTATTCTCTCAGAACATCCCACCCTCGCCTTCTCCCACAGAGTCCAAAAGTCTGTTCTGTACA